TTTTTTTTTTCATTCACCCTTGCTCCTTTCTCATTCATTTTTATGTGGTGCTGAGGTTTGAACCCAGTGCCTGTGTGTACTAGGTGAGTGCTCTACCATTGAGCCACAACCCAACCCTTTTTTTTTAGTACAGGGATTGAACCCAGGGGTGCTTAACCACTGAGTCACATCTCAGCCCTTTTTATTTTTTGAGACAGGGTCTCACTAAGTTGCTTAGGGCCTTGCCAAGTTGCTGAGGCTGGCCTTGAACTTGCAATCCTTCTGCCTCAGCCTTCCAAGACACCGAGATTATAGGCATTTGCTACCACGCCCTTTGAGTGCTTATTTTGTTTTGCTTTTGGTGGTGCAGGGGATTGAACTCAGGCCTTACGCCTGCTAGGCAAGCACTCTGCCACTGAGCTACATCCCCAGCCCTCAGTACCTATTGTATTTTATTTTTTATTTTAATATGTATTTTTCAGTTGCAGTTGGACACAATACCATTATTCTCTTTATTTTTATGTGGTGCTGAGGATCAAATCCATGTCCTCGAATGTGCTAGGCGAGCGCTCTACCGCTAAGCCACAGCCCCAGTCTCCTCAGTACCTATTTTAAACTGAGACGGAACTGACACCTCACCCCTTCCATAAGGCATTTCCATGCTGCCCATCAACAGCTGTACCAATCTGTTTCTTACCACTTTACCTGGTGTGGACTACCCTGGCAGCCACGGGGATGGGCAGTGCGTGGCAGGTTCAGCGCTTCTTGCCCTTGATGTGAGAAGTGGGCGCCTTGGTAGCCCGGGAGCATCTGGAGTGGTGTGTGCTGGGGTGGCTGAGCAGCAGCTGTGAAAGGCTGCAGTGAGAAGTGGGGATATCCCAGCCCTGTGTTGACAGTTACAGGTGGGTCAGAATGAAAGGTGAGGGTGTTCACTGCTCATGCCCCATATTTTTCCCACCAAGTGAATACCAGCACCTTCTGCTGATGTTCAGGTAACATCTGGCCCTGCTCCCTCCATACCCATCTCAGTCTGTGAGCTTAGCCTTTTGCCTCCTGAGCTTTGGTTTCCCCATTCAAATGAGGGTAGTATTCAGAGGCTGAGGCAGGAGGAGTATAAATTAAAAGGCCAACCTTGGCAACTTAGTGAGACCCTGTCTCAGTATAAAAAAGGGCTGTGGATGTAGTTCAGAGTTGAGGTTGCAGCTTGCCTGGCATGTGCGAGTCTCTGGGTGCCATCCATCATACTGAAAACCAAACCAAAACCAAAAAAGAAAAGAAAAATAAAAACGAATCATTAACTGCTTGATTTTCCAAGAATCTTTTTAAAAAATGAGGTGTTGCAGGCAGAGCACTATTTCATCATAACACGTATTTACTGCTGCACAGCAGAGGGGCTGAATGCATCTAGAGAACAGCAGGTAAACCTGGCACTGTGGCTCACACCTGTAATCCCAGTGGCTCTGGAGGCTGAGGCGGGAGGATTGCAGGTTCAAAGCCAGCCTTAGCAGTTTAGTGAGACTGTATTGGGGGGAAAAAAAAAGAAGGGAGAGAGGTCACAGATTTGCAGTTCATTCATCTGAACTGTAAGGTGAAGATCTGTCTGTGTCTGTTGAGGTGAACTTGAAGGACCCTTTTGAAAACTGAATGAGAACTCAGTTTCCTGGTTACTTACTGTAACTGTCCACCATTATGGGTCATTCTTTGAGAGGTACAGTTGGAGGGAAGGGCAGCCTGAGTGAGAGGACTGTATAGGCAAAGGCCTGGAGGCAGGGCACCGGGTGGGTAGAGATGGCATTAGAGTTCTCCCCCTCCCGTGCCCCTGACTGAGCTGGGTCAGGCTCCTCCCTCCAGGCCTTCACCCAGTAACCAGTCATCCCTCTACTCCAAGGGACACTGGGAACAAGAGCAATAGAGCAAGACCCTGGGGAGTGCACCCTGCCCTTAACTGCTTGGGACCCGAAATGATGCCAGTGACATCATGCTCCCACTGTGAGGTCTCTTCGGGTCATTCCTGAATAAACTCTAGGGGAGCTGGGGCAGGTGGGTTCCTTATGACCAGGATGAGAAGCTGGGTGGCAAAGGGTACACTGGCTGGGGGGTGTTATTTTGGTTTTGGTGGTCATGGAGGTTGAACTTGGCCTCCACAAGGTAGGCAAGCACCTGACCACCGAGCTACCAGCCCAGCCCTGTGGAGGAGGTGTTTTAAGTCTGGTATATATTTAGGGAGGCCTAGAGGTCACAGCGATTTCCTTGGGCGCTCTGTGACTGGGGGCTATGTTACCATCCACCCATCAGGTAGTTTTTCAATTACGTCTTGTTCCCCATCTAATTACAAATTCTGAGGAGAACATTAAAGGTAGAATGTACAGAGCTTGTGGAGCATATATCAGCCAGACTTTTTTTTTTTTAATCATAACGTCATTTGTAATTGCAAATGAAAATGAAAAAGTAACCCAAGACAGAGATCCTCCAACTGCCATTTCTCAGTATAAAAATGTATTATTTGTCCGTGTGTCTTCATGTCTTTTGTCTGTCATAATTAACATTCTTCCTCTATGTACTCCCAGTTCATCCTTTTAGGAAACTCAGACGGGCAGCTGACTTTAAACAGATGCTGGGTAAAACAGGACCATTTGTAAAGACGTGCCTATGTCGGGTCAGGCCTGGTGTGTGCAGTAACGCCTTCTAGCTGCAGTGGCTGGAAATGGCAAGAGTGGATTTTCTCTCATGCTGCGCTAAGTGTCAGCTTGGTGCCAGGCTGAGTTCACGTGAATCAAGATGGGATTTTTGGTTGTTTTTGTTTTGATGTTTGTTTACTGAGCTGGGGATGGAACCTAGGGCCTCATGCAGGCTAGGCAAGTGCTCTACTGTTGAGCTGCATCTTCAGCCCTTTCTAAAATTTTTTCTTTTGAGACAGGGTTTCGATAAATTTCCCAGGCTGACCTTGAATTTGCGACCTTCCTGCCTCTCAGGTAGCCCAGATTACAGGTGTACATATGTCATTTCTGCTCATATATTATCCTGCTCAACCATGGTGGTTCAATTTCTGGGCAAGTAGAGAGCTAGAAATACATGGCAAGTAGCACTAATTACCATCTTAACTCTTTACATGTCTTATTTTAATCAAGACATTTGAACAGACATTCAGCTCCATTTAGAACAAAGACCTTTTCTTTCAGTATTGGTCTCCCAGTTAGCATACAGCATCATATTCTTGTATTTTACTATGCTTACAAACCACAATGAGTGATCTCACTTTTAATCAAGTCTTTAAGTGACTTGAGAGCCTGAACACACTTATGAAGCAAACTGAAAGCGGATTCTTGCTAGGTTTTTATGAGCTTATCTATTAAATCACTTACAGTTGGTTTGCTTGCACTTAATTTGGCAGCATTTTTTCTTTGTAGCAACTCATCTTCATTCTTTCCAATGTAACCTCGTTTGCATACAGAGAACTCTTACATTAATTTTTTTAAAAAATTTTTAAACATTGATGAACTGTTATTTATTTTATATGTGGTGCTCATAATCGAACCCAGTGCCTCACACATGCTAGGCAAGCACTCTACCATTGAGCCACAACTCCAGCCCCACATTAATATTTGATAGTGGATTAAATTATTAACTTAAGAACAATTGGCATAAACAGGTTTGGGAACAACTACCTCACAGGAAGTAGGTAATCCAGCAGATGAAAGCAGAACTGTTTAGTCACAGTAGTGGCCCAACAGTCTGTGCCCAGGTTTTACAGGTGAAATCGAGAGTTTATTTCAGATCGGTGGACTGGGTAGGTGACATGATTTCAGAGAGCTTTACTGCAGTATTACTAATAGAATTCAGCCTACATTTTCATTTCACCTTTTGACATGAGTTTCCAGTTTGGTCACCCTGGAGTATATCCTGGTATAGCTCTCTCCATGTGTGTATAGTCCTGGGCATTCATCCCCACGTGTGTCCTGATGAGGTCTGAAGGAAAAGGAAGTGTTAATTAGAGAACAGGAAGGATGAAGAAGAGATCAAGAGATGATCTAGGGCTGGGGATGTGGCTCAAGCGGTAGCGCGCTCGCCTGGCATGCGTGCGGCCCGGGTTCGATCCTCAGCACCACATACAAACAAAGATGTTGTGTCCGCCGAGAACTAAAAAATAAATATTAAAATTCTTTAAAAAAAAAAAAAAAAAAGAGATGATCTAGAGGGCAGCAGGGGACATAGCCAGGAGTTTGGGTTAGTTAATTCTAAAGACACTGGGAAGCCCCTGAAGGTTTTGGTGAGAGGTGTGAGTGTTAAAGTGACAAAAGTTGGACCGATGAGAATGGGGAGAAGTGAAGATTTAGAAGTTCTTGTCTATTTTCTCTCCTCCTTCCTATGGGGTTATCTGTTCATATCTAACTTGCTGTCAAGGAGCACTGACTCACCTTTTGCCAAATCCAGTTCATATTCTGGATTCAAGCCATTCCTGTGAAGCTCTTAGGCAGGACACTTAGTGGGGCAGAGAACTGACCTGGCCTAGGGGTTCTCCCCATTCACCAGCCACTCCTATCTCCTTTGTTATTTGCTCCAAGGCTCCAGGGTTGGAGTGACCAGTCTCAATCCATATATAACACACTTGTTCCTCATCCATTCAAACACTGAGGACCATTGGTTTCCCTAGCCAGACCTCTCCTGTCTACACTGTTTAGTCAACATCTCAAACAAAAGTGACATTTCCCTCCTCAGCTTCAATTAGTGGCACTAATTCCCTTCTTCACTTCAATTAGTGGCACTAATTCCCTTCTTCACTTCAATTAGTGGCACTCCTGTGCAACCCAAAACCTTGTTCTCAACCTTCTCTCAATGCACAAATCCTTTGGGCTCCAGCTTGAAAATCAATTGTGAAACTGACCAGCCCCACTGCAGCCATCTTGCCCTTGATGCATCCTGTCCATGCCTCTTGCCCAGATTATTGCTACAGCCTCTCAGTTCTTCTGTTTTCACTGTTATTTTCAAAACAACAGCCAGAGGGATCCTTTAAAAAAATATTAAAAGTTAAACCTTCCAAAAGTAATTCTTCAGTAGATAACACTTGCTAAGAGAAGAATAAACAGAATCTGCATTTCACCGGTGTAGGCCACTTTATTTCCCCCTATCATCTGTCTTCTCTCTTTAGAGCTAACTGTGGAACCATGCTGTTTCTGTAGTCTTTTTTTTTTGCATTCAGAATTGAACCCAGGGGTTGCTTAACCACTGAGTCACATCCCCAGCTCTTTTTTTATATTTTATTTAGAGTCGGGGTCTCCCTGAATTACTTAAAGCCTTAAGTTGTTGCTGAAGCTGGCTTTGATCTTGTGATATTCCTAACTCAGCCTCCCAATCTGCTGGGATTAAAGGTGCATGCCACTGCACCCAGCTTCTGTAGTCTTATAGTGTGATTATGTGCATTTTAGGAATGATTTGTTTATAAAAAAGTACCAGTTCTCCTTTACCCTCACTCTGCTCTAGCTGTACCTGTCTCCCATTTTTTTCATCCACTTTAAAGACTTGTGTCTTTGTACCCCCATTTAGCACACTCTTCCATTTTATCTGGAATTGCAAGTTGCTAAAGGTCACTTTCCTAACTTCCCTTGTTAAATTGTCCCCCTGGTCCTCAGCCCATTGAGCTGTGCATTTGCTCTACTCAACAAGCATTGCAACTTGTAATATTTGTTTTCCCCAATGGATCACAGGCTCATAGAGGGACCTGGTGTGATCTGATCATCGCAGTACACTCACCGCCCAGCATAGAACCAGCCAAGGTATTAATAATAGGATTTTTTTTTCTTCTTAAAAGGTAACAAGAGTTATTGTGCCAAGCACTGATCCTGACACTTTATTAAATTCACTTCTTATAACCACTCTAAGGTTGGAATATTATCACACTAGAGGAAAAAAGACTGAAGGAAGAAATCGTACACAATGACTAGTAAGTGACTACGCACTTAATTTTAGATGAGTGAATCAACGAATAGCGGAGAGACAGAAGCTTGAAGGCGATGCAGGGGGTGGGGCCTGGGCGCATAGCTGTGACTGGAGGGGTTTCCAGGGGCCGATGGTCCCGCCCAAGTCCCCATGGGGCTCGCTGGGAGTTGTGGTCCCCTAGCCACGTCACCCCTCCAAGCTTTAAGTCCTCCCCTCACGCGTGGTGCTACCCTCGCCCTCGGGTCTCTTGGTAGCGGCCCGGGGCTGTAGGTGAGGTTCCCCGACTCCCATTAGGGAGCCGACTTGGTATCACCTTGTGTCATTCAGCCCTCCTCCCACTTTGGTACGGTCTTTGGCTCCGCCATGCGCCCCCAGTCGTTTCTCGTACCTCGGAGCTCCTCCCCCGTGCTGGGGCGGCCCAAAGTATCTTCCCATTGCCATTCTTCTCACACACCTTCTCTTCCAAAGGTTCCCCCAGCCCTTCTTGGTACGGCCCGACCACGCCCCCTCGCGGACGCCGTTGGTACGCGCCGAGCTCCCCCGCTTGCCGCAGTGGTTTGGCCGCGGCGACCCCTCTGGTAGCGCGTCCCCCGCGCTTGGTACGGCTCAGCCCGTCTCCCCTGAAGCCGCGCGCCCGCGCCCCTCAGTCGGTGGATCCCGCAGCCCCCCGTGTGGCCCGTGGCAGCCGTCAGCCCGCTCGGCCCTCGTTCGCCATGGTCCGTCCACGCCGCGCCCCGCATCGCTCTGGCGTTGGGGGCCCCCTCGGGGGTCGCGGTCGCCCCCCGCGGCCTCTCGTGGTGCGTGCGGTCCGCTCGCGCTCCTGGCCAGCCAGCCCTCGAGGCCCGCAGCCACCGAGGATCAGGGCCCGCTCGGCCCCTCCCATGGTGAGCCCCCCGCCCTTTTTCCAGAGCCTTCCACGACCCCGCCCCCGCCGGCCCCTCCCCCGAGATCACGCCTTTGTCCGAGGTTTCCTCCTCTTTGGGCTCTCCCCAGTGGCCCGAAGGGTGGTCCCGCCTGGGGCAGTGGCCCCCGTGGAACCCCCTGTGGTACACGCCGGGCTCTCTCCTTTGTTACGCGTTTCTGCTGC